ACTCATGTTGCTTGGTTCTACAATCAATGCCAACAGAAGCAGCAGTCAGGACATTAAATGATGTGTAGCACTGGGAAGGTCAACCGCAAAGGAACTGTTTCAAGTGCTGAGGAAGCAAGGATGTCTCCTTGAGGACTAAGGTGCGCCTGACGCAAGCCATGATATTTCCAATCGCCTCGTATGCATGTGAGAGCTGGACAATGAATAAGGAAGACCAAAGAAGAGTTGATGCTTTTGAGTTGTGGTGCTGGTGAAGAATGCTGAAAGTACCATGGACTGCTAAAAGAACTAACAGATCTGTCCTGGAGGAAGTGCAGGCAAGATGCTCCTTGGAAGCAAGGATGGCCAGACTGTGTCTCACCTATTTTGGTTATATTGTGTGAAGGGAAGGGACTGTTCCTTGGAGAAGGATGTCATGCTTATTAGGGTGGAGGGTCGACAAAAGAGGGGGAGGCCTTCAATGAGATGGATTGACACGTTGGCTGCAATGATGGGCTCAAGTATAGCGGGGATCGTGGAGCTGGCGCGGGATCGGGCAGTGTTTCATTCTGCTGTGCATGGTGTTGCTATGAGTTGGAAACGACTCGATGGCAGCTAACAACATAACAACATATGGACAGTTTGGGAGCTCTGGTGCCTACAGCTCTTGACTGCTAACCAGAAGGCTGGTGGTTCAAATCCACCACCCACTTTTCGGAAGGAAGGTTGGGCAATCTACTTCCGTAGTTACACTGTCTCGGAAACCCAAGGAGGGGTTGTTATGAGTTAAGTCCGACTCAGCAGCACATAACAACAAATATGGACAGTTCAGTGATGTCAATTAATGTTGTGCAACTGTTACATACATTACCACTCTCCTGTTCTGAGTTATTCCACCACTGTTAATGTAAACTCAGTGCTCCTTAAACAAAAATTCCTCATTTTCCTCTCCCTCTCAGTATCAGTTCTCCATTAAAACCTGTTGTTACCAAGTTGATTCTGACTTATAGAGGACCTATAGGACAAATTTATATGCTTCTAAAAAGGAAATACAGGTTTACTGGTGGGTCATTCTTACGAAAGGTAAATGGAGAGGAAATGGGATTGAACAGGCCTTGAGATCCCAATGGATTTGCTCTTCCTTCCCTGATGGTGCATGGATTAAGTGCTTGGCTGCTAACCAAAAGGTCAGCTGTTTGAACCTGCTAGCCACTCTGGGAGAAAGGTCTGCTTCCTCAAAGATTAACAGTCTTGGAAACTCTGTGGGGGCAGTTCTACTTTGCCCTACATGGTTACTGTGAATCCAAATGGACTCCAGGGCAACGGATTTGTTTTTAGGGGGAGATCACTCCAGATGTTCCAAGGTTCCTTCTAGTATCATTTCTCTTCTGTCTGAAAAACATACCTTAGCAATTCTTGTAGAGAAGTCTTCTGACAACAAATTCAGTTTTCCATCTTCTGAGAATGTCTTTGAATTATCACTGAATTGTAGAATCCCAGGTTGAGAGTTCTTTTTTCTTTCAGTACTTGAAATGTGCTACATTTTTTTTCTAGCCTCCATGGTTTCTGTTGAGATATCCACAGTCATTCTGATCATAGCTCCCCTTTAAATAATGCCTTGCCTTTCTTTGACTGCTTGCATTCAAAGATTTTCTTTAACTTTAGTTTTCAGCAGTTTGTGAGGTGTCTGGGCATAGATTTCTTTGGGTTTATCCTTTTTGGGGTTCACTGAGCTATTTGAATTTGTAAATTAGTGTCTTTTGCTAAACTTGGGGAAGTATTCTCCAAATATTTTTTTTTTCTTCACCATACTCTTTCTCCTCTCCTTATGGTTCTCGGATGACATGAATGTTAGATCTTTTTTGATTGCCCTACAGATCCCTGAATGTCTATTCTCTGCCCCCCATCTGTTTTCTGTTCAAATTGGATCATTTCTGTTGAACAAATTCACTGACTTTGTGCTGTTACCTTCATTCTACTGTTGTGTCCATCGAGTTAATTTTTTATTTTGTTTGGTGTATTTTTCTGTTCTTTTTTATATCCCTTATTTCTTTGCTCAGGTGTTCTGTCTGTTGTTTCAAGCACATTTGCCCTGATTTCTGAGAGCTTTTTTTGTAATAATTGCTCTGAAGTCTTTGATAATTCCAGTATCTGTGCCATCTTAGCATTTGTGTCTGTTCATCATCTCTTCCATATGAGTTGAGATTTTCCTGGTTCTTTGTATAACAAATAATTTTGTATTCTATTCTAGACATTTTGAATAATACGAGACTCTGGGTCTTACTTAAATCCTGTGGAGAATGTTGATTTTGTTTTAGTAAGCAATTGATCTTGCTGGGTTCAGGTCGCAAATTCTGACCATTGTTTTCTGGATAGCAGTTTCAATGTCATCTTTATTTCCAAAGCCATTATAGTGCTTTTCAGATTTGTCCTGTGTGTGTGCCACCCAGAGGCCAGTTTGGGACCTGGGAACTAGGTCTGTCCCCATTTGTTTTCAGAAAAAGTGTGTCGTATGCTGTTTAGGGTCAGATCCATGTATACAACTTGGGATGAACCCAGGAGTTCATAAACAACTTTTAAGAGGTCACTTTCCCAAGAGCTCTCACTCTCTTGATCTCCCGGGTACTTCCTCATTCCCTGGGGCCTCATTTACCCAGATCTCATGAACACTTAACCACACCTATGCCTGTATCTGGAGCTCTGGTAGCATAGTGACTAAGGCACTTGACTGCTAACCAGAAGGCTGGTGGTTCAAAACCCACCAGCCACTCCTCGGAAGGAAGGTTTGGGCAATCTAGTGATACTGCCTCGGAAACCCAAGGAGGGGTCTCTGTGAGTCAGGTCTGACTCCACAGCACATAACAACAACATGCTTGTATCTAGGGCCAAGTGGTGGAAAGACCAAGGGGAAAAAAATGCATAAGCCCCACCCCCCATTGGAGAAAATTGGTTCTCGCATATTTAGGTTGCCTGCTGTGGTAGGCAGAATTCTAAAGATAGCTTCCTGAGATTCCAGTCCCCTGGTTATTCAACCAGACAGTAACTGTTGTGAAGAGATGTTAAGGTTACTAAGCCACCACACAACCAAACCCACTGCGATTAAGTCATTTATGACTCATAGGGACCCTATAGGACACAGTAGAACCTACCCCCTGTGGTTTCCAAGGATGTAAATCTTTATGGAAGCAGACTGCTTTATCTTTCTCCCATGGACCGGCAGTGGGTTCAAACTGCTGACCTTTGTTTGGCAGCCCAGTGCTTTAATCACTACTCCACCAGAGCTCCTAGGTTACTAAACAGCTGACCTTAAAATAGGGAGATTTTCCTGGGTTATCTGGATAGGACCACATGTTATCACATGAGCCCTTAAAAGCAACAGAGGTAGTCAGAAGGGGAAGTTGGAGAGATTCAAAGTGCAGAGATTCTACCTGCTTTTGTTGGCTTTGAACATGAAGGGGGTCATGAGCCAGGAAATACGGGTAGCCTCTAGAAGCTAAGGACTTCTGGCCTGTAGTCAGTAAGAAAATGGGAACCGTAGTCCTGCAACTGTTTGGAACCAAATTCTACCAGGAACCTGAAAGAGCCTGGAAGCAGATTCTTCCCAGGGCATCTAGATAAGAGCCACGATCAGCAACATCTTGATTTTGGGCTTGTGGGACCCGGAACAGAGAAACCAGCTGAGTCTGCTGGACTTCTGAGCTACAGAACTAGGATGTGATACATTTATGTTGCTTTAAACTGCAGTAGAAAATTAATATACCTGTAGACTGCCTTAAGCTGGAAGTGCAAGAGAATGGAGGAAAAAACAACATATGATTTCCCCTATTCTTCTCAGTGGCAGAAGAACCCTTTCTTTGTTTTCCTTCCAGAAGAATTTGATAGAGGCTTCTTTTGGAGTTCTTTGTCCACATTTTGGTGCCTATTTCTAGGTTTAGGGTTAGACTGGGAGATATTGGAGGGAAAATATAGTAAATTGGTCACCATTTCTGTAGTTATTAGAATTCTGATCTTCTTCTCCAATCCATTTGCTGCTTTTCAGTGTTCTCAAATAAGTGCTCCACACATTCTGTCCGAGTTTTATATCTGCATTCAGTGGGAGAGACAGGGTAGAATGTACTTACTCCATTTTACTTGGAATTAAAATTCTATTAAAAATTAGAAATCTATTAATTTGTTATAGAAGAATATCTATTCCTTGTGTGTAGAAGTATGTAAGGGAAAAAGTGAAACAACCCCCTACAAGGCCCCACATCTCTCGTAGTAATTTCTGGTAATACGTTGGCATATATTTTTTCAGTTTTTCCCTCAGTATTTGCAGTTTTTTTTGGTGGAGGGAGATCATACTTTGGTAGAATTTTTTTTTTTCTTTTTCACTTAATGTTTTCTGAACATTTTCTCATGTCAGTACATACAGAGTGATGAAACTCACTTTTTAATTGTAAATAATAGCATTAGCAATAGAAACAGCTCTCATTTAATCTTTACAGTGGTCCAGTAAGGAAGGTACTGTTATTTTCTGTGCTTTAGATGAGGAGGCTGAAAGATAATTTGGCCGAGATTACACAGCTAGTATGTAATAGAGCCAAGATTCAGACCTAGGTAGATTGGTCTCAGAGCCTGCTCTCTTAGGCTGGTCATCCCCTTCCTTGATCCTGCAGTTTGGATGTGCCATAGATTATTCTGGGTTCTCACCTTTTTTTTTTTTTTTCCTCCCCCCTTTTTTTCCTATTATATCTTTGAAAATATTGCTGTAATATAATGCCTAGAAATCAGTTTATTCACATTAAATCTATTTATTTTTCCAAATTATCCCCCAAAAAAGGACCTGTTTACTCTCCCCGCAATACTTAATGAGAGTGTCAAGTTTTAGAAAAGAGCAGTGGAAACATTATTTCCTGTTGAGTACCCAATTTTTATGTGGCCTGAGAGTGAATTGAAGAGCATTCTTTCTGTTCGGTAGGGTAAAAATCTTACAAAGTGATGTATCCTAGTCAATTCATGGTTCATTCTCTCTTTTTCAGAATTTTGATTCTGACATTAGCAGTGTGGGAATAGATGGCTGCTGGCAGGCAGACAGTCAGAGGCTTCTCAATGAGGTGATGGTGGAACACTTCTTTCGACAAGGAATGCTGGATGTCGCTGAGGAGCTCTGCCAGGTAATCAGTTTGCAACTGGGAAGATGTGAAGAAGAAACAGGAGAACTTAGACTTTCTGTTATTTGCAGAGTTTTCAGTCTTCTGCTGGTCATAGATAGACTTTTAATATTCTAATTATTAGGGCTGACCTCCTTTTACTTAGGTAAAAAATTTTTTAATAGGTGAAAATTACAGTTCTAGAATTTACCTAAATTACTCTTTCCTTGTTCCTGGCCCGGAAGGTAGGTCCCAGGTCATAAACTAAGGGAGTCAGAAGTGATACCACTTTTTCCATTTCCTCTTTTGATGGGAAAGCTTAGTATGGCAGAGAAGAGAAGAGAGACAAAAAGGTTAATGTTTGTTCTTCTGCTCTAGCTCAGCTTATAGATGTTTATCAAATGAATTTCAAGCTAAAATTTACTTCAGGTGCATAATGTTTAACTTTTATTTTTATAAGACATGAGCTTGAAGATTTTTATAACAGTTTATTAATAACACCTAGTCATGCTAAAAACAGCTGCCATGTGTGGAATGTTTACCACAAGACAAGCCTTGCCTTTATTTTCCATAGCAGCCCCATAAGGTAGAAATTATTGTTCTTCTGCAGATGAGAAATCTGAGGTCTGGAGAAATAAGTAACTTGCCTACAGCTGTGTGGGTTCTTAGGGAAGCAAATTTGTGTGATTCCAAGCTGTGTTCTAACCTATCATGTTTAGGAAATGAAAGACTGTAAGGATTACATAATTTAAAGCCAGTCTGTAAACCAGACCTCTAATCTAAGCCTTTTGTATTTAAAACAGTTCAGATAAATGATACCTTGGGTTTTCCTCTGTACACGTGCGTTTATGTAAATTTCCTAAAGTAAATGATTAAGTTTGTTTGTAAGTATCAAAGGCCCAAAATAACAGTGGCTTAAATAAAAATAAAGTTTATTTCTCTCACACACAAATCAGAGATCTTAGGCAGCCCACAGCATAAACGGTAGCTTTGCTCCATGAACGAAGCTCTTAAGGACCTTACACTCCTTGTAACTTTGCTAGTCCCAGAGTGTGGGCTTTGTCTTCACGGTTCAGGATAGCGGCCAGAGCTCCAGACTCGTCTTTGTATCCTGGAAGGGGCAGAGAATTACATTTCATTGGCCAGAACCCAGCTGAATTCTATATTGCCATGTACCAGCTAAAATTTTGGGGCTGTACTATGGTAAAGAGGGAAGAATGATACTAGGGAGCAATTATCACTCTCTGCCATTAGAACTACATATTAAAAGAACATTATTTCTGGTGGTTTCTCCCATATACTATCTAGAATATGCTTTCACTACTATCTCTTCACCCTGATTATTGGTAACAAAAATTCTTTCTGTTTGTTTTCAGGAGTCTGGTCTCTCTGTAGACCCAAGTCAGAAAGAACCATTTGTGGAGCTAAATCGAATATTAGAAGCATTAAAAGTCAGAGTTCTGAGACCTGCTCTGGAGTGAGTTACTGAGATTATTTTTTCTGCAAGAAAATTTAATTAGAAAACACACTTATCTCACTTAGGTAGACTATAGAAATCAAGGGAGAGTTACTTTATTACTTTTACCAAAGTGAGATACAGGGAGCGTGCAATGTGAGGAAATGGTGAGGACTTACTTCATTGTTAATCTGCATTCCCATAAGAGAAAAGAGTTTCCTGTGTCCAAGCTATACTGTCACTTTATTTAGCATTATAACTGAAGTTCAGGAGGTCTCTTAGTTTGATATTTGAGCTTCCGGAGTATGTTGGGTTTTGTGATAATATTCTAGAAAATGATTAGATTGGTTATTGGAACTAAATGGTAGAAGAGAGCAAATATTGTTATGAAGGAACTCTAGCCTTGATACCACTGTAAACTTTGATGATTCACTGTGAACTTGTCACTGATAAGAATTACCTGAAATTACTGAGTAAGCTTTGAGAAATATTATCTTAGAGCAGGGTCAACATACTTTTTCTGTAAAAGGCCATTTAGTAAATAATCTAGGCTTGCAGGCCTCCTAAGGTCTCTGTTGTGTATTACTCCTTGTTTGATTTTATAACCTTATAAAAACCATTTTTGGCCATCTGATGTACCAAATAGGCAGCAGGACGTTTTTGCCCTATGTCCTTAGTTTGAGGAACAGGTAGAATTCTTGTATAAGTTTGCAAATTATAGATTTCTGTATAAATTATAAATATAAATTTGAGGTAGTTACTCTGTTTTTAAGATTTCACTTACAGTTTAATTGTGAGAGGTGTTTTTAAGCAGAGTTTAGATTATGACACACCCAAGAGAGAAATTTGGTCAGGTACCTCTAACACCCACCACTTAAACTAAATAATGACAAGCGTTCTTCTGTGTACTTTCATACTTTCCCCTTTATGGTTAAACATTTACAGGAGGAGAATGAGGGAGCCTAAATATAAAAATATAATGGGCTTCCCAGTTGTATTTTGTTTATCAATGACACTTTATTATGTTTTTGGGGAAAGTTTACACAACAAGTTAACTTCCCCTTTGACAATTTCTGCATAAATTGATCAGTGGCATTAGTTACATTTTCAAATTGTGTCACCATTCTCATTAATTGTGTTCTGTCTTAGTTGTTTTATAGTCATTAGGAAATTTTTGTATTCATTTCTCAGGTTTTCCATCAAACTTTTTTATTAAGCTTTTACTGTCTACCAGGAACTGTGCTGATCCTTCAGAGTACTTAAGGCTTTTTCTTTTGGAATGAAGAAAATTCATTAGACTCTTTTAACTAGTGTACTTTCTGTTTCTTATTGAAAGCTTTATCGTGTTGTTATTCGGTCAAGTTGGTTCTGACTCATTGTGATCCTATGTGACAGAGTAGAACTGCCCTCAAAGGTTTTTTGTTGTTGTTGTTGTTTTTAAGGTTTTTTGTGTGTGATTTTGGTAAAAGTTTACAGAGCAAATTAGTTTTCCATTCCCATAGGGTGTTCTAAGCTGTAAGTTTTATGGACAGATTGCTGAGTCTTTCGCCTGATAGATATGTCATTTATTTCTATAAATGTTTTCTTGTAGCCTCAAGCCAGTCCCTGTCAGGTAAAAGGATGACTTGTTCCATCACTTGGTGGTAACAGTTGGGAATACTATACAGTAAAAATTTTCTCATTTCAAAAATTTCCACATTTCAACCTGTGGAAAGGTAGTGATTATTGCTAACTCTTGTGTGCTTAATATGTGCCCAACATTGTTCTAAGTATTTTACGTGTATTATTCAATCTACATAATAACCCTTGGAGGTGAGTACTCAGTATTCCCATTTTACAGTGGAGGAACTGAAGTCTCAGAGATGCTGCATGAATAAAAAAGATGTGGAGTCAAAAGTATATGGGAAATGGTAAACAAATTCTGTTCTGTAAATTTGCACCTAAAGCACAGTAAAAAAATAAAGTGATCCAACTCATAGTGTGACCCCTCCTTAGGTTTCCAAGGCAGTATCACTACAGAAGTAGATTGCCCAGTTTTCCTTCTGAAGAGTGGCTGGTGGGCTTGAACCACCAGTCTTCTGTCAGGCAAGCACATGCGTTAGGCACTATGCCACCAGAGCTCCTAAATAAAGTGATACAAAGAAAAAAAGTGTATGGGAAATGCTATATATAATACTTCCTTAATACTCTCCTCTTAGAGAGTGACTTAAGTATATTAAATGGGCCATCAGTAATTGTACAGTGAAGAAATGCATTTAAATTTGTATAACCCAGTTTAATAACATGCATGTTTGACCAAAGAATCCTTATTTTCCCCAAAATAACATCTATTAGAACTTACAAAATTATATATATGGAACATAAGGTTGGAAAATGGTAGTCACATTCAGTGGAAATTTCCATTACTACAACTCAGACTTTTCCATTTCTTGCCTATTATTGATAGATGCAAAACAAATGTTAACTGTGTATCTTCTATAGGCAAGGTACAGAGAATTTTATGGGCACGTTGAAAATATGAGACACTAGTTTGTGGAACTGTGGTTCAGATACAAGGAGGAGAATAATCTGCAAACTGCATAGCATCATCTGTTTATAGATGGCTGGAGGAAGCATTATGGTGCACCCACAGAAGAAAAGAGGGAAATGGGATGCTGCACTGGTTCCTCCAGGCAGCCTGGGTAGTTGAGGAAGCAGAGGTCAACAACAGCCAAAACATTGGTATGGGTAGAAACTATAGACAACCTAGAAGAGAAGGAAGTCTGAAGAGTGTTAGCTGTTGGTTATAAATGCCAAGAGACTGTGGAAACATGGCAGGAAAGAATGGTGATATAGCAGAGAAAAGTGACCAAAGAAGTGTCAGGACCATGCCTTGTATTTCTGAGTTTTTTACAGATTTTTCTCTTCATCCACATTGGTTTATCTATCTTTAAAATTCCTCTTGGCACCTAGCATAGTGTTTATTACATAGTAGGCCTTCAATAAATGATAGAATTGTTTGAAGGAGAACTTGAACAAATGTGACCTACTCCTTCATGTGGCAGATAGAAGGAAAGCCAAAACCAATGTCAGTAAGAGAATAATACAAATTTAAGACAAAAGGAGTTATTAGAAAAGTAGAACCCATCTTCATAGCTGTATGTTAATGATTGGCATTGTGAAAGAAAGTACTATCTTTTTGGCAAACACTGTTGATTGTGTTCTTAAAGATGTCTCAGAGTAATAATACCTTGGTGAATTTGCCATAGTCTAGGAACTGACTTTCAGTCTTGCAGACTTGGAAATGTGTTTATGTTTTTTCCAATATCGTATAAGTAGGTCTGAGCTTTAAGAAACTGTGAAAACCCCCATTGCTAAATTACATACACAATCTGGTCTACTAATGGTCCGGAAACGAGCCTAGGTAGATGCAATTTAATCTTAATTTGTTGAGCATGGAGTTGAACAAGAGAGAGTTGTCACAGAAAATACTTCTTCATGGTCTCAGTCTAAAATATTCTGATGTCTTTATATCCACATTGGAGATAGCCTTGCAAAGATATTGGACAGTTTAAAGTTAATTGACTAAGACTCATTTTCCTTAGATGGTCCTTGGATTGTCTCAGTCTCTCCTTTCTTAGGCTTCCATTGCTAGCTTACCTTTCTTTTTTAGATTTATATTTTTGAAACATTGTTTTATATAGGAAACTTCCATATTTGACTTTTATGTTGGCATAAGTCATCTGAATAAGTACTACATGGACAAGTTCGAAAAATGGAAATTTACAAAAAGGGTTATATGATGAAAAGTAAATCTTTGGTTCACCCTGCCTCCTAATCACCCAGTTTCCCTCCACACAGGCAGTCACCGTTGACCTTTTTTCTATATAAGTATAGATGAATTTTTTATGCACAAATAGTTGTATATTATACACAATGTTCTGCAACTTGCTTTTAGCCACTTAACGTTTGAAAATTTATCTGTATCACTACATATAGAACTATCTCATCATTTTTTTTTTTTTTTTTTCAAGTGATGACTTACAATTCTGTTTTAGGGAGTATACCTCAATTGCCAGATTTGCTGCCTTCTTATAAGATGCTGAATTGCCCTCCATAAAGTTTATTGCAAAATACAGTCCTGTCATTATTAGAAGGGTAGTTTCACATCTTCCTTGTCACAGTTGGAGGTGAGGAAACAATGCCACCTTTTATTTTCAGTTTGCATTTATCTCATTAGTGAGGTTGAGCCACATCTATGTGCTTATTAGTCCACCTTCATTCTGGTGAAGGTCTAATCTTCTCCCATCTAAACAGGCTTTCTTAAGTTAGGAGAGATCACTACTAAGATAGGCAACCATTTCATACCACAAAGTCATCTCCAGGTGCTTGTGGGAGTATTTCACCACCACATCTAGGAAACCTCAAAGCACTTTTTTTTGGGAAGAATATAGTTCTGTTTGCTTCGGTAGAATGCCATAAGGGAGCAGAGGTATAATAACTGAATGGTTTTTTACAGAAGAAGAGGGGGAAAAATACTAATTTAGACCACAGGAGGGTTATTTATAAATTGGACAAGCTATGAACAGTGTCAGGCAGGCTGTAGGAATCTGGGAGGATTTCATCTCTAAGCCTACTGGGTAGGTGGGGGTGGAAATAAAAACCCCAGAGATGTGAGATGAGGCCGCCATTGTGGTTTCTTGGTGGTGGTTGTGATTAGTGGTCCTAAGGATAGAAAATACTTGCTTGGACATAGAGAAATGATAGTATTTAGAATAAAATACAGTTTGTAAGTGTAAAAGTTGTAGGAAATGAAAATAGAAGCATGTAGAGATGCCTGATCATGGAGAATTAACTATCATTGGAAATAAGGATGACAGGGATTATATAGTTTCTGGTGTTTGTTTTCTTGTTCTTAGTTGTGGCTTCTTATGAGTGGGCACTCTTGCAGATTCAAGCATTTATAAATGACCACATAGAACCATAGAGGAAACAAGGCTCTGATAGCTGTAAGGAACACAATCAAGGTTTGAACAAGTTGGATTTTTTCCAGAATTGTTGTTTATTTGGTTGTGTGTGTCTTAATTCTTAGGGGACGGAAGAAGAGTATTGTCAGGAAGGTGTGGACAAGCCATGACTATAGAGAAATTGAGAACTTTCTTACAAAGAAAGGAAAAATTGAAGTAAACTCTCCCTGAAATTGTTTAAAAGAATAAGGAGTTAAACTAGCTAGGAGGAAAGTGAACGATGGGAGAGAGGTAGGAAGACTGCATAGTTTGTGTTTTTAAAATGCTGATGCTGTTATTTTAAGTTTATCAAATCTCTTATTTTGTTGTGGGAAACTAGTAATAAATAAGCCAATTACATATTTAAGTACTTTGAAAAAGAAAAAGAAACCACTGACTTACAGAGCTGTGTACTCTAACCTGGTGACCACAAGACTATAAGGCACTTGTATTCATCTCTGCATTGCTAAGAACCCCATTTAAAGCTAAAAGTTGTTGTTTTTTTTTTAATAGATAAAAATGTAATGGTATAATTTACATGGTATTTTAAATAGCGTGTGAGGAGGACAATAACACCACTCTGAGATGAGTGAAATGTTAATTCCAATGGTGGACTCTTAACCCATGTCTGAGAGATTACCACTTGAAAATACCTCAGAAATGAAATGTTAGCTACCTTTCTACATCACTAAAGCAATGAGTTTGATTTTTAAAGCAAAGTTACAGGGTTCTCATTACTTACTTTGGCTGAACTTTGATTTTTGCCATTTCTGCAGTTCTGAATTTGATTTGGTCACTAATAATGTCCAGCCCAGTGCTGTAGGCACATAGCCACATTTGTGGAGTAAATAAATATCACTCATCCTGCTGAATGTCAGCTTTTACTCCCAAGTGTATAGTCCAAAGAATACTAGAAAAAAAAAACCACTGTGAAAGATTGTAGAGGTGTGTGCTGTAGGACTTGGCAAGATGCATTTTTTTATTTCAGTATTACCAGAAATAGACACCAATCCAAAAAAAACCAAACCAAACCCACTGCCATTGAGTCGATTCCGACTCATAATGACCCTACAGGACAGAGTAGAACTGCCCCATAGGGTTTCCAAGGCTGTGGCTATAAATCTTTATAGAAGCAGACTGCTTCATCTTTCTTCTGCAGAATAGCTGGTAGATTTGAACTGTGGACCTTTTTGGTTAGTAGTCCAATGCTTTAACCACAATGCCACCAGAGCTCTTTGACATCAGGCCAGACTGGCAAAATTTCAAGAGGAGATAAACAGATGAATGCTGTCAGTTATACTCCTGGGGGAGAATAGCTTATTATGAAGATGAAATCTTGTTTTTTTTAAAATTACTTTTGGAATAGTATGGAAATTCTAAATATGGAGTTAGCAATGTGCCAAGACTTTTTAGAGGTCTGAAAATTAATGCTTACTGTTTCTGTTGGATAGTTTTGTAGGTGGTGCTTTCTTCTACCTTAGCCACCTAAGTAAGCAGTATTGTTTGAGAGTCTCTTTATGGAAAGAAACCCGAAAGGTCCCCTTTTATTAGGAAAATGTGGTGGCGGTAAGCAGAGATCATTGTGACATTGGAGACTTTACTGAGTGTCATTTTGCTCCACAGTGTTTATCCTAACAAGGAGTAGTTCCAAAGCTGGCATTGCTCACATGGCCCACATAAAAGTAGTATTTCTTTATACCTGATTGTGGTTTTAGCAACTGGTTGGTATACTTTTCTGCTTTAGTGCTCACCTGACCTGGTCGTTTCAGCTCAAGATTGGTTATTTCACCTGTTTCTGTTTATACTACACGGGCCTGAGTCCCTGTGATTTGGATCATTCAAAACTGTGAATATACTTCTTTCCCTTCATGTCTGTACAAATCATTTTGACATAGGGTTATATACTGCGTGATACTTTTGTAGCTTTATCTTCTCAATTAAACTGAAAGTTCCTCGATCGGAAATACCTGTTTATGGTTTTTAGTCCAGAAGTGAGTAACACAGAATCTTTCATGGAAACAAAATTTAAAATAAATAGTTCCACTTCAGAGTCTTTGGTTCATTAATAAACAGTCTAGTTTAATAGAAAAAAAGTATTGAATCTAGGGAATTCAATCATGAATCTCATGGCTGATACCTGCTTGAAAGTGTGGCCTTGTCCATTCCAAATATGTCCTATAACACAAGGTCCTTCTTATCTTGCTTCAAAGCCATACTAAATATGTAATTATTATCTAACAGTGCTTTTTTTCCTTTCACTGGCTGAAGCGTATTTTCAGGTGTAACTCATACCTAATTGCCATCGAGTCGATTCTGATTCACAAGTATAGGATGCTATGGAAACAATCATTTTTCTAGTTTATTTCTGTGAAACTAGTGGACATAAATCCTGAAATAGGTAGGCAGTGAAGCCAAAGGGAAGAGCAAACTCAGCTAGACTCTCCAACAGTTTAGGGGTTAAATATGATTAATTTAGTTTTGAAGGAGCCCTGCTGACACTCTGAGCTGCTAACTGGAAAGTCAGCAGTTCAAACTCAATAGCTGTTCCACAGGAAGAAGATGTGACAGTCTGCTTCTATAAAGATTTGCAGCTTTGGAAATGCTGTGGGGGCAGTTCTACTCTGTCTATAAAGTCACTATAAGTTTTTAGGTATAGTTGGCATTATATCTGCTTTCTTTACAAAGTCTCTGGGCTTAGGGACTGATGTTACCAAAGACATCCTCAAGATGGCAGAGTAACCCTTTTTTTGTGTACCAGATTTCAAACTATTTTAATACACTTTGCCTGTGCCCAAGGAGGGGTTGCTGTGAGTCAGATCTGACTCCACGGCAGTGAGTTGTTTGCCTGTGTGCTCTTAGGAGCTCTGGTGATGTACTGCCTAAGGCACTTGACTGCTAACCAGAAGGCTGACAGTTCAAACCCACCAGCCACTCCTTGGAAGGAAGGTTGGGCAATCTATTTCAGTAGTGATACTGCCTCCGAAACCCAAGGAAGGGTCGCTGTGAGTTGGATATGACTCCACGGCAGTGCGTGCGTGTGTGCGTGTGCCTGTGCTCTTAATATAATTATATATTTTTACTGTTAATTATTTTCAAAATTCTTTTACTCTCTTTGTGCTTTTTCTTTAGGTGGGCAGTATCAAACCGGGAAATGCTCATAGCCCAGAACAGCTCCTTGGAATTTAAGCTACACAGACTATATTTTATTAGCTTGTTAATGGGTGGAACTACAAATCAGCGAGAAGCATTACAATATGCTAAAAATTTTCAGCCATTTGCCCTAAATCATCAAAAAGGTGAGTTTGGACTCAGATGTTGTCAACATTTAGAACAAGGCTATCTACCCTCCACTGGGATTTAACAGTTATCATTACCAGATGAAATACATTATTTGCAAGACAGGAGAAAGAACAAGGTGTGCACTTCTTGTTCCACCCCTACCTTGCTTCAGGCTGCTGTTGTAGCCACAACAAAGTGTGTGAGAGCCAGGATGGCAGCAGGCATCTCCAAGTGTCAGTGTGGTGTACAGCCAAGGATATGTGAGGATTCCATTTATGACATAATTGTTACTCTTCTAGATAATGGTAGTCATGCTGCTTTGTGTATAATAAAAAGTATACGTTCGATATTTATTACTTTGCTTTTCTTCCACTTTCTTCCTATGCTAGTTTTTTTTTTTTAATTTGGGGTAGGGGAAAAAGCTAAACTTAATATGAATTTTAAGACATAGTTAATAAATTATTTTAGGTTCCATCAGTTGGGGGTATATTTTTTGCCTTTTCTCAGCATGCCACCTGTAAACAAGCTGTATTTCAGATGCAATCACTCACACTTCCTCATCTGCCTCTCCTTCAGACATTCAGGTTTTGATGGGAAGCCTTGTCTACCTGAGGCAAGGGATTGAGAACTCACCATATGTTCATCTGCTTGATGCAAACCAGTGGGCTGACATCTGTGACATCTTTACACGGGATGCCTGTGCCCTCCTGGGCCTTTCTGTGGAGTCCCCTCTCAGTGTCAGGTATGGGAATTGACTCTGTTTGTTGTGGAAATATGCACTACATTGGTCAACTCCTTAACATGTTACCTAATTCTTGGTATTTAAAACAGGGATAACTTCTGTCTTTCTGAGTTCCCAGGTGTGCCTTGATAACAAAAAGAGTGCAGCTGGTATTTCGAGAGATCTTCATAAGTGGCAGTGACACACAATTTTAGGACATCAGTTCTCAAAGTTCCAACTGTAGTTTGGAGTCCCTGAGAGCCTTTTCCACTGTGTTGACATTTGCACAGATGGTTGAGAAGGCAGTGGTGGGTAAAACCACTAGAGCTTTAGCACAAGTTGGGAGAGTGGTACCAAACTCTACAAGTACTCATTGTATTCCTCACCACCACCTACTTGCAGTTTTAAAAATGCTAGTTTCACTTGATGTGGTCGTTGCATTTGTGTGCTAACTTGGCTGGGCCAGGTTGAGTGTCTGGACAGCTGAATGTAGTTCCCCATGGTGAGACTGGTAATTAACTCCATGGTGGAATCTATTGGCACAGCTGAGTAGCTGCTTTGGGTATGTGGTTTGCTTCCCACATATAAGAAGCAGCTTTGGGAATGGTCTCCATCTTGTGGCACGCTTGGACCCTGCTTGTAGCCGTGTTGTTGTTCAGCAGCCTGCCATATGGTTTGGTAACATCGAGACTATGCCATTTTATTTGTCGACCTTGGACTTGTTAGCCTCAGCAGCCAGTAGCTGCCTGAATGAAGAGATGCCTCTAGCTTCAGTGGGCCGGGAGCA